GAGAGGGGGAGAGAGGGAGGGGAGGGAGAGGCGGCGGAAAAAAAAAGGACGGTGACGTCTGACGGGGAGAGCAAAGGCGATTCCATAGCTGAATGCCTGAACGGGACGGAAGCAGAGAGGCAGAGAGGCAGAGAGGCAGAGAGGCAGAGAGGGAGGAGGACTAGAACGGAGAGACGCGAGGAGACAGAGAAGAAGGTATGGAGAGAAAGAGGGGCAGAAGAAAAACTCGCAGTGTGAACACAGGAACAAGAGAAGGCACGAGACGAAAGAGGGACGAGACATGGAGAAGAAGATAAGGGCAGAGAAAGGCAGCAAACCAGTGGGCAGAAAGGCGAAAAGAGGGAAAAGGAAACATGAAATAGTAAACGAAATTCTGTCAAAAAAAAAATGAGAGAAAAGGAGAGGAAAAAAAGAGAGAGAGAGAGAGAAACAAGCAGAAATGCTGAATGGGTGGGATAAGAGATTCCAAAAAGAATCCAACAAGCACCCGGGCAATACTTTTCTCTGGTGAACAAGGAGGGGAAGGAGGAAGGGGGCCCTATTCCCGGAGACTCCGGGGCCCAGAAAGGGGTAATAATTTAATAAACAAATAATATACAAAAAATAACGGGTAATACTTTTCTCTGGTGAACAAGGAGGGGAGGAGGAAGGGGGACCTTTTGGGCCCTTTTTCCGGAGACTCCGGGGGCCCAGGGGCCGGTAAAGAGATAATAATTTAATAAACAAATACTAATATACAAAATTTTCAATTTCCCGCAGAGATCTGAAGTTTCACGGAGTAATTGCCAACTGTCCCTGACAAAAATAAATAATAAAAATATCTTCAAATTAATCAATTAAATAATTTAAATTGCTATATACCTAGACTACCAGCCAGGCCGCCCGGGTCCCGGGTGGGCAGCCCGTGCAAGGACCAAGGAAGGTCCCAGAAAAAAAAAAAAAAAAAAAATCCAAAAAAAAAAACTATGTTATGCAGAAAAATAAACTGAACAACTTTTGCCTCAGGGTCACATCGAAATTCTTTACCAAATTTAAAATAAAAAATAAATTCAAAATTCAAAACTGAACAACTTTTGCCTCAGGGTCACATCGAAATTCTTCACCAAATTTAAAATAAAAAACATTTTTTTTACTTTTTATTTTTTTATTTATTTTTTATTTTTTTGGGGCCCGGCCGGGCAAGTGACCCCGTTTCGTTCATAACCACCGATAATACTGCAATATTACAATCATAAGTAATCATAACCACCGACTCCGTTTCGTTCTTCTCCTCCCCGGAAGCTTCCCTATCACTTTCTTTTTTCTTTTTTCTTTTTTTGAAGGCTAAGTAGCCCAACCCAATCCAACCTTCTGAACCGTTGATGGTTGGCTATACCAAGAACAAAAAAAACAAAAAAAAAAAAAAAACATTCTTCTGTCGAATCTCACAAGGACGGCCTTTCCTCTCACTTTTTTTCACTTTTTCATTATTTTCAGGCTCCGTCGCCGGCACGCGAACCTGAGTCGCCTGGGTGAGAGAAAGGGGCACAGAGAGAGTGAGTGAGAGAGAGTGAGTGAGAGAGAGAGAGGGAGAGAGAGAGAGAGAGAGAGAGAGAGAGAGAGAGAGAGAGAGAGAGAGAGAGAGAGAGCCGCCGGGTTATCGTAACCAGACTAGACTACGACGGCCTTCCCTCTCTCACTTTAAACTTCCATATTTTTTTTTATTTTTTTTTTCTCATAGTTGTTTTCTTAAGTGCTGCTCTCTGCAAAACTCGAAATACATCATCCAAAGCCGAAGGTCCCGCTTAAACTTCAATGAGTAATTTAAGAAAAAAAAATCGTATCGCTAAGGTCCCCCTTGAATTCCAATTAACAAATAGTTGCTGGCCTTCAATTTCGGGTATCATTCATATACCGATAATATGGAAATATTATTAATATAGATATATTAGTATGAATATAATATCGTCAAACAGAGCTGCCCGGTATACATATATATATCGTCAAACTGAACTGCCTACGGTTTAGAGAGGGAGGGAGAAGAGGACAAACAAACGAGGGGCTGTGACAAACTGTTCGTTTGGCCTGTGACGTGGGGGCGGTGCTTGCATGTGGGACTTGTCATCTAGGATTTGCTTTCCCCCTGTTTTGTTGTGTTCGGCTGGCTGTTTCCTTCCTCTTTTCTTTGCCTCTTTGCCCTTTGGCTGTGTGCAAGAGGGTCGATACGACACACGGGGGTGGGGGCAGCCACCGCTCAATCTACAACCACGTCGGCGGCCTTCTACGCAAGAGGTTCTTTCTGAACAGGGGGAGTTGTAAGGAAGAAGATTAAAAAACGAAAAAAAAAATCTTGTTCTCTCTCTTTTTTTCGCTTTGCGCTCTGAAAACTCTGTGACGATATATATCGTCAAATATATATCGTCACAAACAGAACTGCCCGGTAAACCGTAGGCAGAGAGAGAGAAGAGGACAACAAACGAGGGGATATATATATATATATATCGTCACAAACAGAACTGCCCGGTAAACCGTAGGCAGAGAGAGAGAAGAGGACAACAAACGAGGGGCTGTGACAAACTGTTTCGTCGGAGTTTCACTATATATAAATATATATTATATATACATATATATATCGTCACTCTGTATCGGGAGCGCAAAGGCGAAAAACACAAAACAGAAAAAGGAAAGAAGGAAGGAAAGCTCCGCCTGTTCATCACCTCTTACGTACATATACTAGTAATACTCTAACGCTGTGTCTAGAAAGGAATAATAATCATAAAAATACTGTAACAATCCATAACCACTCTCTCCGTTTAGTTCCTTCCCTCTTCTCCCTGGCCTTCCCTCTCTCACTTTACCTTCCGCAGTTGTCTTCTTAAGTTCTGCTCTCTGCAAAACTCCAAATACATCATCCAAAGCCGCAGGTCCCCCTTGAACTTGGTGACGGCTCTGTCATAAATGAGCACCAGTTGATTGACTATGGCGCCATCCGCACACGAACGCTTCCACTGAATTTTCTTTGCCTTCATATTACGCAAGATGGCCCGCTTGCGGAGAGCTCTCAACGATTCAAGCTGTGTCTCGTACGCTAGGTATCGAAGGAAATCCTCCTTTACACGCGACCTCCTCTTAAGAAGGTACTCGAAATCCTGTCTCTTCTTGATGATCTGCTTGATCTCTTCCCTAGAGAACAACCCACGGTTTTCAAGATCTTCAAGCCCCGGGAGCATCCGCTCCATCCGAAGGTGCACAACGTCCGCCATCGCTAGCTGCTCCTTTCGGCACTTACTCGCGACCTCTACGCACCACCTTAGGACCACCCTCCTCTTGAAGATGACCTGAAGATGGAGCGGGGGGGGGGGGGGGGGGGGGGGGGGGGGGGGGGGGGGGGGGGGGGGAGGAATCGGCTGCACTGTACCCCGATGGTGACAGCAGAGGTCGGTCTGCTGACCACCGATCTATCAATGACAGCACCAAACAGCCCGAGAGCAATGCAATCAAACAATCAATCAGACCAATCAAACAATGATGAATACAATCAATCACACGGTCAATCAGAACACTCCCACAATCAACAATTAGATCAATCCAACAACTATTGAGACCAAGCAAGCAAGCAAGCAATCAGACTAATCAAACAATCAAACAATCAATTAGACCAATCAAGCAATGAATCAGATCAATCGCACAGTCAATCAGAACAATCAATCAAGCAAGCAGACCATAATCAAGCAAACCACTCACTCGAGAAATCAATGGGAAGAATCAAAAAATGAATCAGACCAATCACACAGTCAATCAGAACAATCAACCAATCAGACGAATCCACCAAAATCGGTCGGACCAGTCAAGCAATCATTCAGACCAATCACAGTCACTTAGACTAATCAAACAAACTCGCAAACAGCCCCTACTCCATCAATCTCAATCAACCACAACCAATCAATCGATGGATAAACGTCGTATTCATACTGCAAAAAAGTGGGTCAATCCATCGATCGATCAATCACTCGCTTCGGCCATCCTCAATTAATTACCGGGCAAGATGGATCAATCAATCAATCAATCAATCAATCAATCAATCAATCAGTCAATCGATCAATCAATCAGTCAATCAATCAATCAAGCAATCAAGCAACCATGGACTGAGGGTTTGATTCCTTTGCGACATGGCGTCATCATTTCAAGCCAGCCACTTTCCCCACGTGGACCGTGACCTTTTCTCTGCTATAGGTCTATCGATCAATCTATAACTTTATAGATAGATATAGATCTATCAATCAGTCAACATGGACCAACAGTTCTCTTTGATCGCCGTCCGTGCATCTTCTGCTTCCCTTTGTTTCATGTGGATGGTGGATTTTGAACCAGAAACGATAGCCATTACCATTACTCTGCAGCACAATAGCTGTCTACCGCGTGGAAACGGACCGTCCGGAATAGCTCCAACTTCCATTTTTCAACTCAATCAATCTCTACCGAGTTCAGCGGAACGAGTTGGAGGTGGGCACATTTCGCCACCCCAATCTTCCATTGTCATGCTTTTCTCCCCGACCAGGCCGAAGCGAGGGATCGGCGGCTTGCATCAAACGACCCCCCCTGTACCCAAAAAAGAGGGCCTTCCCAGTACAGTACGTGCCCCGGAAATTTGGACATGGCAGCTATATAGGGCCTCGTTCGACACCACTTGAACTCAAGGGTCGACGGAAAATTCTTCTTTCCACCCCTCCCTAATGACCCCACCCCTCCGTAATGACCCCCCCCCCCCTAATGTTTTCACTTTCCTGCTCTCCAGTGTTCATACTTCAAACTCAAGTGCCGCTGGGGCAAAATTGCACTTGAACTCAAGGTACCTCCCGGAGGTACCTTCAGTTCAAGTGCCTGCGGATACTGCCAGCACTCCAAGTGGGGCTTTTTTTTTTTTCTTCTTTTTTTCAGCAGGCGATCCTGGTCCAAAATTGGTCAAGCCGTTGTCGCAGGGTGACCCTCCCGGCCACGTCACGCAGGATTTCGTGCAGGTCTTTATCCTTTATCGCGGTGCAAATGGAGCTTCCGTCACCACTTCGGCAGAGTGCGCCAGCCATACCTCTCGCGAACCCCTACGACAGGATAAGGCCATGCGAGGTACAACTATCCTCCACCCACGGGGTTGTCACCACCCTTGAACAGGCATATTCTCGTCGAGCTACCGAACCACATGCGAAAGCTAATCAGTTGCAATCACAGAGGTGGCCCAGCCGAGGGCGTTTCTCTTACGTTGTAGCATAGGGGGTATGCGCACTCCCACGCCTCTATCTAACCCGTACGTGAACCGACGCATCGGGGGGCTGAAGTCCCGAGCGCGACTCATCGTCGGTCGACTATGACACATCCTTCTTACCACGTGTTACACCATGCTAAAACAAAACAATCAGATTACTCACACAAAACAAAACACTCCGAGTCCCTTAAGTATCCAACCCATAACCTTTTGACATGAAAATAGGTTAGGCGTCGCGCGCGAGACTTAAGACAAAACCGTGCAGGCGCAGGGCTTTCTCATATCCACTAGTCGTGGATATATATGCAAGCAATTGCAACGATGGCGTATTATATAATACCCATAATCGCATGGCCCTCGGTGGTTTTGAGGGTCACGTTTGACACTCAAGTATCGACTGACACGCACCTTGAAGGGTTAAACTCTCAACGCTAGACAAACGGCAATGCGGTTGAGAACCACACCCTCTTCTGCACCCTGCGGATAGTGGGTGGTACACAGACTCCTACCTGTTGTGGCAGTGGGGTTTTATCGCCCTAGAGACGAGCTTCATCATCCAGGGTCTACAGAGAAGTCAAGCGGTTTAACTTTGATGGTTGTCACGGACTCCAACGTCCAACTATAATAATGATGAAAAACAAAAGGCGAAAAGGGATCTCTCTTTTCTCATAGTGCATAATTAACTCAACTCTCGCGCACGCTCACAATAGGTCGTACGAACACTTGGGATACACACATATAGAGGATTATAAACACGAGATGATCCATTTTCACAATCACAACGGGACCCCCTTCAACCATATATATGTGATCGCAAACAGCCAAATTTAAAGTTCAAATCACAAATATATCTGCAATCATATCAAAAAGTCAACCAAAGGTCAACGCACTACACGGGGGCAACTTTAATGACTCTCTGCCCCTTGCTTTAACCACACAAACCCCAACCTTTATCCAACCTTCCAAAATAAAATATTCAGTATCTTTATTAAATTACCATTCAATAAAGTCCGGGTAAAAAAAAAACGAAACAATTCAAACCACAGGGACTAAACCCTTAAGGTTGAGTGATGAGAGTGGATTAGAGTTGAGTCGTAAACCGACGAATCGGCAACCAATATGTTATCAATGATAAAATAATATGATCCTTATGGGATCAATTAAAAACTAGTCTAATTCTGAATCAAAATGTTCAACGAGGACCTGTAATAAAGGACAGACCAATACCTAAGGGTCGACTATAAGTGTATGGAGAATGAACCCCCATATCACATTCTTACTCAAAATTTTCCCGTAACCAAGTTTAAGTCTACCTTTAGGCAAACACTTAAAGAAAATAAGATGTTTGACATCATCTCCCTTACTCAAGGTGGATCGCCAAAATATTTCTTATTATAATAATTTAACTTCTCTAAACTAATAAAAAATTGGCAACTCTTCCCGTATAAAAATTATTTTTTCAAAATATGAAAGTTAGAATGACATTTCAACTCTAGAAAATCAAATTTTGTCCAACTCCCTGAATTAGTAAAAATTTGGGCAACATCTCCTTTAAAGAAGTACACTTTCCAGATTTATACTAAGTCAGATAAAAACTCGAGGTAAGACTTGAGTTCCTATCAAGACAAAATTTAGCCAACTCCTTAAATTGGTAGAAATTTCGGCAGCGCTTTCCGTAGAGAAAGTAACTTTTTAGAATTTATACAAAGCTAAATACAGAATGTGAAATAATCCCGACTTTCCAAAGTTAAATTTCGGCAGCGCTTTCCGTAGAGAAAGTAACTTTTTAAAATTTATACAAAGTTAAATACAAAATGTGAAATGATCCCGACTTCCCTGAATGAACAAAACTTCGCGCAACACTCCCCTTATAATTCTTTTTTTTAATTTTTACTAAGTCATATTATAAAACTTAGACAATAATTAAATTTTGAAAAGTCAAATTTAACTGACTCTTTGGTTTTGTAGAAATTCCGACAACGTTTCCCGTAAGAAAAATAGTTTTTCAAAATTTATACAAAGACAAGTGAAATAAATGATTTTAAAAAAAATGCGAGAATTGACCTAAGTTAAAAAAAACTAGCCCATAAAATCTTGAATTGAACGAAATTTTAACACGTGGTGGGCAACTAAAGCAACTACCTATCAAATAAAATCTCATACCAAGTAAAAATGTCACTCAGCCACATGAAAGTTCATACCACAATGGTAAGTACTTTCACCCAGTTTCAAAATTGAACCTTATCAACAATAGTTCATAGTGTCTCAATGATTTATCTCTTATACTCAACTTACATAAGGCGTAAAGTTAGACAATTCAACTTAAAAACAACGTCTAGCTCAGCCATGAAATATACAAAAATATAGGGCACCATTACTTTTCTCTTCTTTGGGCATGTAACTATATCATTTGACTTAGAAATAAAATTTATTCACCATGAACTGTTTAAAGTAGTCAAGTTATATATAACTTTCTGCTCTTAGTCTTTTAAGTTGTGTAGCATCGTGTTCGGGTTCGGTGACCGAACCCGAACATTCGGAACTGAACGCTAACGAGCGCCGAAACTCTCCGAACGTGAACATAAAAGAAAACAACAACAAGGTTCTCCAAAAAATCTGAAAAAAATATATGTTATATAAAATAATAATACAAACAACTTTTGCCTTGGAGGTATGGTTAAATTCGTAACCAAACTCAAGTTAAAAGTAAAACAACAAAACAATTTATTTATTTTTTTGTTTTTTTAAATATTTTCGGTCGAACACGTTTGGGTGGCGTTTGGCCGAGGCTGAACACCCGAACTTATTCGAATATTCGAAAAATCTCCGAACATGTTCGGCGTGCTACACAACTTTTAAGGTACAATAGGACTGAACCATTCAACTTAAAAACAAAGTTCAACTTACCCCATCTTACAACTAACTTATACTTTTAATTAATACCTAGGTAGCACGGGTTATCTGGTCAGACAATCTGCTCGAATTATCTTGCTGGATGATCGGAGGGTAGGATC